GGCTGTACAAGTTGGCACTCCCACCAGCAGTGGAGAAGTGTTCCCCTTTCTCCACATCCTCTCCAGCATAAACTGTCATTGGTGTTTTTGATTTTAGCCATCCTGACAGGAGTAAGATGGTATCTCAGAGTTGTTTTGATTTGCATTTCCCTGATGGCTAAGGATGTTGAGCACTTTCTTCTGTGTCTTTCAGCCATTTTAGATTCCTATATTGAGAATTGTCTATTTAGTTCTGTACCCCACTTTTTAATTGGGTTGTTTGGTGTTTGGGGGACTAGCTTCTTGAGTTCTTTGTATATTTTGGAGATCAGCCCTCTATTGTACACTGTTGTTTAAGCAGTCCTTTGAGGGTCACTTCACCTTTGCATTTGCTTGTCTCATCCTCTAGACGTATTAGAGTGAATTCTAGATTCTCACTGAATACACACACACACACACACACACACACACACACACACACACACACGCACGCGCGCACACACACACATGCATATCTCCTGTGCTGTTTAGTTTTCATCAACTTGATACAAACTAGAGTCATCAGGGAAGAGGGAACCTCAGTTGAGTAATTGCCTCCATCAGATTGCCTATTGACAAGTCGATGGGTGCATTTTTTTTGCATTACTTAAAATATTTTATGGACATATAAATATATGACAGAAAAGAACCCTTTTGCAGGATTCACTAAAGTACTGAAGGAATAGGGAGGACAAAATCCCTGTAAGATATAATGCAAAGCTCTCATCATAGAAAAGGAAGACTAGAATAGATGGGCTGCAACCTCACACACCAGCCATCTACATGGTGAATGGTGTGAATACCGTGCTACAGTCTCTTCTTGTCTACATTCATACATCAAAGCAAAATACTTAAAATAGGAAAATAACATCTTCCCCAGCTTATGAGAACATAAAGGCCAATTAATGAGAAGGTGAAAATGCTTCCCAAACTGGAAATAACATGAAACATTTGTAGACTATAAGCATCCCAATGTAATTTAATCTCATTTAAAGTCAACCCCCAAAGGGTGAGGAACCAAGGTTAGCATGCTTTTGTAATACTACCTGTGCATATAGAAATGGTCACAGACTCCACATTTTCAGTGCCTCTCTAGTCCTCTTTAAAACAACAGCAACAACAAAACAGTTTATATGATTTAATGATGTATATATCTGTCTATGATTTAATGATATTAAAACAACAGCAACAACAAAACAGTTTATTTGATTTCATGATGTATATATCTGTTCGGGATGTATGTGTCTGAGTATAGTGTCCATGGAGGCCAAGAGGTGACATTATACGCCCAGAACTGGAGTTTCAGGCAGGTGAGAGCTGCATGATAAGAGTACAGAGAACTGAACTCAGGTCCTGTACAAGTACTGCAAGTGCTCTAACCACTGAACCACCTCCCCAGCCTCCTCTTTTCATAGGAGTCACCACAATTTCTCTCCTCAGACTTATGGGGTTTTTAAGAAGCACCTTGGGAATCCTTGGGGTGAACCTAGTGTTGCAAAGAAACACCCTACTCTACCCACACTAGCAACCCTTTTGCTATTTTATTTTTTCTTTTTTTAATTTGAGTTACAAACACGATTGGATTACATGACAATCCCAGTTCCCTTCTCTCTCCCGTCCTCCCCTACCACCCCCCAACCAAAACCCTACCTATCGCAAATCCTTTCTTCTCATCTATACCTGACTCAACCTTTCTGCTCCCTCATGACCTCAGCATCCTTCCTCTTCTTCCCTTCTCATTCTCCTAGCTTCCTCCCCCCTCTTCCCATGCTCTCAATTTGCTCAGGGCATCGTGTCCTTTTCCCCTTCTCCAGGGGACAAAGTTTGTCTCTTTTAGGGTCCTTCTTGTTTACTAGTTTCTCTGGCAATGTGGATTGTAGGCTGGTACTCCCTTACTCTATGTCTAAAATCCAAATATGAGTGAGTACATATGTTTGTCTTTTTGTGATTGGGTTACCTCGCTCAGAATGATTGATCTGGATGGGCCCAGCCCACTGTGGGAACTGTCATCCTGGGCAGGTGGTAATGTCAGCCATGGTGAGCAATCCAGTGAGCATCATTTCTCTATCACCTTCATTCAGTTCAGTTCTTGCCTCCAGGTTCCTGCCCTCAGTGGGTTGTGACATAGGAGTTGTAATATGAAATAAACGCTGTCTTCCCCTAAGTGTTTATCACAGCAAGAGAGAGCACAGGAGGACATCTCCTTACTGTACCTTCTTGAGTTTAAATTTGCACTTATTTATTTATATGTGTGCATATACATGGAGCTCAGAGGACAACTTGCAGAAGTCACTTCTGTCCTTCTGCTATGTGGGCTCTAGGGATTGAACTCAAGTCATATGGCTTGGCCTTGCTGCCTCTCCCCCTTATGAAGTTCTAAGATTTAGGCTGTAAATCAGTTCTTGAAGCATATATTTGAGGCATGTTTTTGGAAGTGGGTAATTTTGTATTTTGCCCATAAAACATGACACAAGATTCCCCCTCCTTTGCCTCAGAGGACTACTTAGCCAGTAGTTAAAAATACCACAATGTCCCCAGTCCCACTCTGTGTCGCTGTCTCTCTCTGTGTCTCTGTCTCTGTGTCTCTGTGTCTCTGTCTCTGTCTCTGTCTCTGTCTCTCTCTCTCTCTCTCTCTCTCTCTCTCTCTGTGTGTGTGTGTGTGTGTGTGTGTGTGTGTGTGTGTAGTGTGTACACATGATTATGGCTGAAAGGAATCAATGTTGGGTGTCTTTGTGTATGACTCTTTACCTTATTTTTTGAGACATGGTCTCTCACTAAACCTGAACTTGCCATTTTGGCTAGACAGGTTTATGCAGTGAGCCCTGGGATTCCTCTGCCTTTCCCCATTTTCCTTATAGAACCGGGGTTACAGGTGTGTTCCATTGTACCTGGAAACTGGCTTTATATCAGTGCTGAAGATCCAAAGCCATATCCTTGAGCTTGCACAACAAATTCTTTGTCTAACAACCGTTTTGGACTAGCAGCTGCCAAATCATGATACAGAGACTTATTATTAATTATGAAATCTCAGCCTATAGCTGAGGCTTGTTTCTAACTAGCTTTTACAACTTAAATTAACACATTTCTATTCATCTGTGTGTTGTCTTGTGGCTCGTAGCTCTTACCTCTCCTCCTGCATGTCTTAATCCCTCTCTGTCCAGCTGGCGACTCCTCCTTTCTTCTTTCCTGGGACCTCTCTGTCCCCAGAAGTTCAAACTAACCTCTTCTTGCATAGCTATTTGCCATTCAGCTCTTTATTAAACCAATCACAGTACACATCTTCACACACTGTAAAGAAATATTCCCCAACAATCTTCCCAGCCCAGTACTTCTTTCTTCATCATATATTGTGTTTTAATATTCCTCAAAATTGCTTTTTTGGATGGAGGAGGGTTGAGGGTTGTTGAAATGAAGATGTTTTGTAAGGTGAGAAACAGTCTTCAAATTCCTCCTCCTCCCTCTCCCACCACCACCACCACAGAGCACACTTCTAGACTTGCAGACTCAGGGCATAGAGTTTTTTTCCTCCTATGCCTCAATTAGCATTTATGTCCCATTTCCCTCCTCTAATGTTGGTTGGACATCTGTAACCTCTTCTGGATGCCTAGCCCCATTTTCATTGCTATTTCCTTTAAATTTATTGATTGCGTGGCCATCTTGGGGAGCAGGAGAGGCTGTGGTGGATGCCATCAGCTTACTGCTTGATTCTGGCCCTTCCTGGTTCCCGTGGGATTATCTACCTTCTCTGGCTTTTCTTTCTCTGTCACCTTACCCCTTTCTTCTTTTAAGTAATTCTTCCTTTATGTCACTTTCCTTCTCAGTCTGTTGTCTTCATTTCATCACCTATCCCTTTTGAATAAAGAGTTCTTATTTTCTACAGTAATGGAAAAACACCACCCATGCCCTCTGAAATCATATAGCGGATGTCTCATTAACGTGGCTTTCTTGAGAGTTTTGGGTAGTGGCTGTATTCATGTTGTAGACATTTCTACGACTGTGTGTTCCTGATCAAAATCAGGCTTCTGTAGGGGTGATGTTCCCATTAGAGGATTCTGGAGACCCCTTTGATCACCTTCATCACTTGATTGCCAGGGAATCTCCAGGTCAGACATCACTTGGAAGCAAGTTTGATTTACTTAGGTCTGGGTCAAATGTCTTGATCTGGCAGCCATCTCCCCAGGGTGGTGTCACTGGGCAGACCACGGTGTTCCTGCCTTTCTCTGTAATATATCAAAGTGGGCAGTTGCTTCCAGAACTTTCCCTGTCCTTTCTTGAAGAACTCATTTCATTGCATTTGTACCCCTAGGGAGCTGTCCCAGGATTCAAAAAGAGATGTCTGTGTGAGAAAAGAGGAGCCCTTAGCCCCTGCTGGCAGGATTGAAAATTATAACAACCAAATAGACATCAATATGTAGATTTCTCAAAAAAATAGAATAAACATATGACCCACCTGTGCAACTCCTAAGTGTATCATCCCCAGAGAACCTAAATTCTACCACATGACACTTGCATATCCATGTTAATTGCTCCTATGTTCATAAGAGCTAGGAAATGGAACCAGCCTAGATGTACATCAGCAGATGAATGGATAATGAAAATTTGGTACATATATGTGATGGAATATTATGTAGCTGTGAAGAAAAGCAAACAAAGATCTTTTCTGGAAAATGAATGGGTCTGGAAAGTGTAATATAAATCTGAGGTGACTGTAACTGTCCCAGAAAAAAAACCAGCGTATTTTCCATCATATGAAAACCCTAGTCTATAACATATCCATATTATATGAAATCATTGGTATGTGTAGGTAAAACCTAAATGTCTAGAAAGGAGACAGAAAGGGGGGCGATAAGGAAGTGTGGGAGTAGGCATAGGATCACATGGGACACAGAAGATGGAAAGATTTGGGGATGGGGCTCCAAGGGAGAAACAGGGCAGTGGTGGGGGGATGGAAAAGGAGACCCTCAAAAGTACATTATTTTAAACTGGCATAATGGTCTCTGACATATTTAAATGTGAATTAAAAATACAAAAATGTAAAAGAGAAAGATGCCCTCTTGGGGTAGAGGAAATGAGTTACATTTTTATCCAGGATGGTTAATCTGGTGATGTCACATAGGCAAGGATATCACCCTTTATTTTTTGCATCCCTGTTCTTTGTTCTCAGAGGCCAAGGCCAATCCTGTGTTTTGGGGTCCCTGAGATATTATAGTTTTCTGCTCTGTTTTCCCTGGGGGCCTAGGGTTGAAGGGAAAACCTGGGATAGGAAAAGTGATCGAGGATTAGGGAGAGAGGCCTACGGGGCACACTGGAAATCCCCAGGAGTGTCAAGATTGGGGGGTTAATCTGACCATGTAAAGGTACCACAGGTGTATGGATAACCTTGGCATGCACAGAGACTAATTTAACCATGTAAAGGTTCCACAGGTATTCCAGGAACCTTGGCATGCATGGAGAGAAAGGCTCTGAGGGTACAAACAGACACTCTGTTGGCCCTACCAGGTTGGGCTCACCACACACAGTGGGAGGTATATATAAGGCATCAATTGAAAAGGTGGGGCCAGGAGACAGGGTACCATGGATGATTCTGAGCTCTCTGATACTCATCAGTGGTAGGGCTTGTGCACTCAGTCTTTAACTTCCAGGAGCATCATTTTGTCATCTATAAAAGAGAAAGTAAAATCATCTCACTGGGTCAATTTGAAGATGAAATGAGTTAATACATTGGGATCATGTACAGCAGAGGCTGGCTGAACAAATATCAGACATTGTTCTTAGTGTGTTGCATGCTAGGAGGAGGATGGCATGGCCCCTCCTAGGTGTTGACTGGATCTAAATTCCCTCCTCCTCTCAGCATCTTTTAGTCCTGTCTAGCTCCTTCTTCCCATATGTTCATCCAGGGAAGCTCTGCCTCTCTGCCTTTGCCTAACCCAGCCCTCTCACCTTCCTCCTCAGTGCAATTTCCTTATTCCATCTTATACATTGCCAGGCACTCACTCTCCACACTCTGTGATTTTCTGCTGGACACAGTGTGTCTCTGTTCATAATGTTCCATCCAATGAATCGTGTCTGTTGAAGTGCTTTCCTTCTTCATGCCTTTCCATTGATGGTCCACAGAATTGATGTTTGTCTCATAGCTTCCTACTGGTCATGTGTGGTTATGAGTCCAGCGACCTTGAGTTCAAGTCTTGATTAATTACCTGTTTGCTATGTGGTTCAAGAAGTCACCCATCTTCCCTGAACCTCAAGTCTCCCCACTTGTCAAATAGCAAAATGATGCCCCGCTGAAGGAGTGGGCACAGACATGAGACTG